ACAAGCGTAACAGCACACGTGCCGATACATCCATTACTCTGTCAAAGCAAAAGTATCCCATATCAGTAGGGTCGAACGTACTCTAGATTTGATGGACTTGTTTTGACCCTCAAATTCTTCAGTCGGCCTTATACTCTGGAGGAAACCAGAAAACCCTCCAGCTCAGTTCAAGAATAAGCCTGTGGAAAGTTACTTCTTCAAAAGCAAAAGTATCCCATATCATCTCTTCTCATTTTTCTTCTCTTTATCCTTCATGCTGCCTGCAAGATAGGGAGAATGTGAACAATCAGCCGGAGCTCTGATTGCTTACCTTGTCTGTCACCTCTTTCAGCAAATCCCCTAGCTCGGCAACTTGAGGGACTCCTACTACATGGTTTGTATCGCGCTTGACCAAGCCTGAAACTACAAGTAAGCTTCAAGTGAAATTGATACATTACCTTGTGCATCTCCACCAGTTAAAGATACCACCCCTGGATGGAGGAAGAGTACTTCCAGAGAAGATGCCACATCTACCTGTGAGACAGATAAGGCAAGTCAAGACGATACCACATTCCGATACTTAGAAGTTTCGTGATTACGAGATCATTCTCCCACAATATTTCCTAATGTCATTTGTACTAAATCATTCACCTGTACTCACTAAAGGAAAGCTTGAACCTATGTACTTGTGTAAACCCTTCACAATTAATGAGAACTCCTCTATTCCGTGGACGTAGCCAATCTGGGTGAACCACGTACATCTTGTGTTTGCTTTCCTATCTATATCCATTTATATACTTATCCACACTAATGATCGGAGCAATCTAGCGAAGATCACAAAAAGCGACCGTTTTCGCTACCTAGGATATATCGTGCAAGAGAACGGAGAATTAGAGAGATCTCAACCATAGAATAGAAGTTGGATAGATGAAGTGTAAGAGTGCATCCGGCGGGTTGTGTAACCGTCGTAGGCCACTGAAGCTCAAGGGAAAATTTTATAGGACGGCAATAAGGCCAGCGATGTTGTATGGCACAGAATGTTGGGCGGTGAAGCATCAACACGTACACAAAATGGGTGTGGCGGAGACGAGGATGCTTCGTGGGATGTGTGGGCACACAAGAAATGATAAGATTGGAAATGAGGATATTCGAGGTAAAGTAGGAGTGGCCGAAATTGAAGGAAAGATGAGAGAAAATCGGTTCCGGTGATTTGGACATGTGCAAAGAAGGCCTACTGACGCTCCGGTTCGAAGATGTGACTACGGGACAGAGGTTCAGGGCCAAAGGGGTAGAGGAAGACCTAGGAAAACTTTGGAAGAGACTCTAAGAAAAGACTTAGAGTACTTGGTTCTAACGGAGGACATGACACAAAACCGAGCGCAATGGCGTTCTAGGATTCATATAGCCGACCCCACTTAGTGGGAAAAGGCTTTGTTGTTGTTGTTGTATACAGGTTGACAAAAGATACTTGTCCTGCTTATCAACAAATTTTTTCGTTATACCTATTCAGAGGGATTGGTACATGAATAATTCATATTATATATTATAAATTCTCTTGAACTAGTTGTGGTTATGAACAATCTGTAAATTTTCCAGTTGATGGACTCGTACTTTTCAATGTTAATTTAGATGATACTACAGTCTTAACAGTTTATCATAATATTGAGCAAGATAAATAAATCAAGATCTACTCTTTATATCACAGTATCATGAAAGTTAGTGATGTTCAGTTGGATTATTCCATTTTCGTGGTTCACTAGAGTAGATTGTAATGTTAGTTTGAGTGTAAATATAGAACTTTGTATGTTTGCCATCGTCTCTCAATACCACTTGATCACATGATTGATGGTGCTGTTTCTGTTCTTTCCCAGCCTCTGTGGCGGTGCAAGCATTCACCGGAGCATATGGAATCAATTATGGAAGAATTGCAGATAACATCCCTTCTCCTGATAAAGTTGCTACTCTTCTCAGAGCAGCAAAGATAAAGAATGTCAGGATATATGATGCTGATCACAGTGTTCTCAAGGCCTTTAGCGGGACTGGGCTTGAATTAGTGGTTGGACTTCCAAATGGGTACCTGAAAGACATGAGTGCCAATGAGGATCATGCAATGGATTGGGTTAAAGAGAATGTGCAGGCATTCCTTCCCGAGACACACATCCGCGGGATTGCTGTGGGTAATGAAGTCCTAGGTGGGGGTGATTATGAATCGTGGGCAGCTCTTTTGGGCACGGTTAAAAACATCTACAATGCAACCAAGAAGCTAGGATTAACTGATGTAGTTCAGATTACGACTGCACATTCACAGGCCGTTTTTGCTAATTCTTATCCACCCTCTTCATGTATATTTACAGATACTGTTAAGCAGCAGTACATGAAGCCACTTTTGGAGTTCTTCTCAGAAATTGGGTCTCCCTTCTGTTTAAATGCTTACCCGTTCCTTGCTTACATGAGTGATCCGGAGAATATTGATATTAATTATGCTCTTTTCCAGAAAACTCAGGGGATTTATGATCCAAAAACTGACCTTCATTATGATAATATGCTCGATGCTCAGATTGATGCAGCCTATGCAGCATTGGAAGATGCTGGGTTCAAAAAGATGGAAGTTATTGTTACAGAGACAGGGTGGGCTTCACGTGGAGGTGACAATGAAGCTGCAGCTACTGTAAATAATGCAAGGACATACAATTATAATCTACGTAAAAGGCTAGCAAAGAAAAAAGGGACCCCTATGCGGCCAAAGTTTGTAGTGAAGGCATACATTTTTGCATTATTTAATGAGAACCTGAAAACTGGTGCAACCTCTGAGCGAAATTTTGGACTGTTCAAGCCTGATGGGACCATTGCATATGATATTGGGTATCATGGGCTTGTATCATCATCTGCAGATTCATTGCTTTTATCTTCAAAGGTACAAATTCCCTTACCTTCCATAAAAGTCATTTGAATGCTCATTTCTTGGCGATTGGGTTGCTTATTCTGAGTTTTTCATATAAGTAAATGAAATATTGGTTTGAAGAAACAATGATTAATTTCAAATCCCATTACATTACCTTAAATTGTCATTGCGTTGCTTTGATCATTGCCTTTAGAAATGGGGTTAGATGCACATACGAAACATATAAAGGCATTTCGGTATTAGAATTAAAACAGTGGTACTTATCCACCAATAAGGAAGTGATTGAGCACCATCACCAAGAAGAGGTGCCTAATAAACTGAACAGTAGGATATCAACCTCAATGTTAAGATGCGCGTCTTTGCTATCCTCTAAAGTCTAAAGGAATTTATGAGATTTTTCATCACGAAAGCTTTTTGCCTTGTATAACATGTTTTGAGTTTCAGCAGTTGTGGTCGTGCTAAGCACATTAAACGATTTTTATTACTGAATTACTATATTATTGGAAGAGCTTCCTCATCTCATTGGTTTCCTTATGTACGCTGTTACAGCACATTGGAGCGCAAGGTTGGTCTCGTTTGCAATTCTTGATGCTATCAATTTCTTCTGCATCATTGCTTCTGTTTTTAAAATAATGATTGAGCAAACCGGGGCAGCAGCAGCAGTCGGAGTTCAGAGCTTGGTTGTCGAATCTCCTTCAAAGTACAGACACCGTAACTGAACGGACTCTTGAGTTTCGTAAATTATATGCTAGCAGCTAGCCATTGCTTATCAAGTGTATCCATATGATGAAATGTATATCAGTTTTGCTTAGAAATCACCTTTCTATGCAGTACCATTGGATAAACGACGGGAAAAAAGAGTGTCGCTTCCCGATTCGTATTCACTAAAGCACGAGGAAATTATGTCACTCGTCATGGATCACATGGAAAACTTCCGTTGTTCTTTCTTAGTCATAATAAACGCCGAATCGTTTACAGCAAGAACAAAAAGAAAAAAAGGGGTAATGCCGGCCACGGCATTATAAAAAATAAAAAAAATCTGCTACTCTGGAAAAGAAAAGTTCAAAAATTATATAGTTTCTGCTTGTCTGGAAAATAAAAGGTCATACTTAAACAACACGAGAAATTCTTGAATGTGCTTGAAACATGGAGTAATACACCCAATCCCGTATTCGGAGACACTGAAAAATTTCTCCAATAACAAATAGTTTGTCTCAAATAACAATTTTTCCATAGAATAAAAAACTTAGGATAAAATAATTTAAAGTTGCCAAAGAATAAGTCATGCAAAGGGAGTAGATAAATCATAAACAGCAGGAAGCTTCCTATTTCTTTCTCACATTGCAATTTTAATATGCTTGCAAGGAGTGGATAGATGCATTGGTTTATAGTATGGTGTGGGTCTCAATACATAATTATTATTGATTTGGTCTCACAGACATCTATTTGTATAAAACAAATTTCGCTTACTCTTTCAAAGTTGCCGCATTTCATTCTCAACCGAAACCTCTAAGTGACATAAAAAACGTATAATTAGTAGTTAACCAAGAACGGAGTCAGAAATTTTCACGAAAGAGACATATATAGTCCGACTTTTAGTTATCTGGGGTGAGCTTATTTTCATTAAGTGGGTGAACTTCATAAGGATTAGCACCAAAAATTTGTTTACCCAAATTGTTTACTGATCTAGTGCCCACCCTAGCCTATGAGCGGCTTCGCCTTTGTGTATTAACTGAAGAGTAATGCTAGGGAGACTAAATTTGTAAACTAAATGACATGGAAGTTGATGATTAAATTATTACTTAAACGTTGATAAACGTGCTCATTTTTTATTAGTGACACATTCATTTAGTTTGCAAATTTAGTTTACAAATTAAGTCTCCTTAGCATTACTTTTAACTGAAAGACACGTAAAGGTAGATTTGAGATTGAAGTACATAATGATGAAGTTGGAGAAATTTTTGCGATTATATATATTACGGTCACGTGATAATACTAATTCACGCTTAATAAACGAGTTGATATTACAATTTCAGCATGGTAAAAGTTCTTCCCAATAAATTTATATGCCTCATGAGATGTGAAGTTGCCAAGTCAATCAGGAATAATTCATCGCACCATTTGATATCAACATGTTTCCAGTCATTGACTTCGGCTTCACATGCTGATAATGTTATTTATATAAGCCCATTGCAACCACAACCCAAATTATGCAAGCAAAGGGCAGTCCCTCTCTATGTCTATATATTGTAAAGAGAACCAGTATTGCCAACACACACCAAAATATATACCAAACAGGTAGCTTGATAAGTGGGGGCAACCTGTGGACACACAGATATCCTGCAGAATTTGAGAGATGGCGCCTAAAATGCTTGGTTTTGTGACAGCTTTTGTTGTAATAACAGCAGCAGCACTGATCACACAAAGAGCAGAAGCTGAAACACACACAGTTGGTGATGCTACTGGTTGGACTAACATTGTTGATTCCGACACTTATTCTTCCTGGGCTGCCAAACATACCTTCAAAGTTGGCGACACCCTAGGTAAATCCAAATTTACCTTTCAAGTTCATTAATCATTTTTTAACCTTTTCTGATTAGTTTAAAGTTTGTTTGATAATCATTTCGTTTTTTGTTTATTTTTTTTGAAAACTGAAAACTTGTTTAATAGATTTTCAGTTTTCACAAAAATGAAAACTAAAAGCTACTTTTGTGACTTTTCAAAATTCGGTTTGATCTTGGTTTTCAGTTTTCAAGAAAACTAAAAATTGAAAACTTGGTTATTAAGCGAGCTGACGTTTTTAAGGCTAGTGATTTCAACACTCATTCTTTAGTTTCTAGTACTATTCCTATGAGAGCTGAAAAATCGTAAATATGCAGTTTGAGGTGTAGATAACTGAAATATAAGGGTCAAAACGCTACCTAAATTTTTACTATTCGTACAAGTTCAATATGATCTTAGTTTGGTTTTTGTTTCTGGTAGTGTTCCAGTTCACAACTGGACGACATGATGTAGCCACACTTACAAAGACAGCTTATGATGAATGCAACAATACCGATATTCTGGGCGTACTAAACCAAGGACCAGCCAGTTACAGCCTCAACAAAACCGGCGATTACTACTTCATCTGCTCCTTCCCAGGCCACTGTAACGAGGGTCAGAAGTTGAGCATCAAAGTGACAGCTAGCCCTGCTGCCCCTCCTCCTGACAGTGAAACTCCTGCATCGCCGCCAACCACAATGGCTCCTCCTCCTTCTGACACTAAGACTCCTTTGTCGCCACCAACCACAACGGCACCTCCTCCGTCAGCAGCCTCTTCCCTAGCTTCTACTTTTTCTACTGTTTTTATGTCCATTACCATTGCTCTTTTCTGCCTCTTCTAGTACTCTTTTGTTCTTGAGTGTTAAGTTAATATTGTGAGTTCAATGCTTCATACTGCATTTCCACAAGACTTCCATTAATCCAATATTCATGATGATTTTAATTTGATCTTTTGTGTTGAAATAAACTGCTCAATATATGTAACAAAGGAATTACAATTGGTCCTGCAGTAATACTTAACCCAAAATTCCAAACAATATTCGGGAACACGTGCCTTGTTCAACCCTGTAATTCGTTTATTTTCATCTTTATTTTACTTTTATTTGTGCACTGAGTGTGGAGTTATTCTTTTTCCACCGACCTCGAATTCAGGGTGCGACATGATACTTCAATACTTTCTAAATTAAAAGTGTCTCACCCAAACATAACTTAATTGCTTTCTGACATTGTTTATTCCGCTATTACAAATTGAGAGGCGTAGAAAAACTTTGTTGAAAGGAGAAAATAATTGTGCTTCCTTGTGTTTTGAAGCAAAAATAGTTTAACTTACATACAAATAACAATTCACCATATGTATAATCAAGAGACACTAATATTGTTTATCGATTACGATCGAGGACAGCTAAATAATGGTTTTAATCATGCCAAAGGTCAAACTCTTCTTGCCGGATTTAGTCATCATCACCCTTTGTTTTAAGGAAAAAAAATTGAGCAATATTAAAATAATAACTAGTTCCTTTGAACGAGGTGCCCCATTTCTTAAGGTACCGTCTTAAGGTACCGTTTATACGCGGACGGGACGGAACGAGACGAAACGGGACGGAATAGTGGTTTCATGTTATGTTTGGTATGCGCAGGACAGAACGGAAAAGTTGTTCCATTCTGCGTTTGGTAAGCAGGATGGAACGAAATCAAAATATTAAAATGACTAACTTACCCTAGTCCGTACATCTCTCTCCTCAATCACCTCCACCCTCCGAACCAATCAACCCACCGTCTCTCTCCTCCACTTCCCCTCCCTCATCTTCTCTCCGCTTCCTTCCAACCAAGGTACTCTCTCTCTCTCGACACTCATACACACATTTCTAACTCAATTTTGTGATTTGAATTTGAAATTAGCGCTCAGGCTTGCTCCGTACAATGTTCATTCGCGACCGTACGCTTCAATTTCATCCGAAGCAGCTGCCGCAGATTTCACAGACGAAGCTCACTCCGCGGACTCAACCCTAGAACCGCCGGAGAACCCGACTCAGGAAACCGTGGAGGAGCTTCTGAGGAAGAAAAACGAGGTCGCGAAGGGAGGGTTTACAAGCAACAGCAAACACCAAACCCGTTCTAGGGATTGGAGGATTTACAAGCAGCATCAAAATTAATTAAAGATAAAGATTGGAGGATTTACAAGCAGCAGGGGAGATGGGCAGGGATGAAGAGCTGAAAGTTCGTGAAGGGGAGATGCGCAAGGATGAACGTTCACAGCGGCAGAGAGAAGAGAAATGATAGTTTTAGGGTTTGTTGGATGATATAGATGGTGTAAATATTGAAAAAGTTAAGGGGTATTTTTGTCTTAAATTTTATGATTTTTGTGTTCCACGGGATGGAAAAACCCGTTCCAGGGGGGAGCGCGGAACCAAAATTTAGCCCATTTTCGTCCCGCGGGACAGCCGTTCCACATAATTTTAGCACGCCAAACGTGGGACGGAACGCGTCCGTCCAACTCTGTTCCGTCCCATCCCACGTACCAAACGCACCCTAATTGAACGGGGTGGCCAATTTTACATTACTTGTCAAAATTCTTTGCTAGGGAATCAGCAATGCTATGGCCTGCAGGTTTGTGTTTTATATACACCTCAAAATTCACAAAAAACAGTTTAAAGTCCATATATAATTATATTATTGTATGGTTCAGTAGCTACCATGATTTAAAAGTTTAAATTTGTTTCTTTTCAAACATAATTAACATCGACGCCTGCTCATTGAAACATCCCTAATTAGTGATTTGATCTATCTAGCACTGCACCTCATATACACACCAAGGTAGCTAGCTTGCAACTCCGGATGTCATAGACAATGCATTTTGGGCGGACACCCTGAACTGCTTCCTAAAATCCGAGAAGTCTCCCCAGTATAAATTCTGACCTCACAGCATCCCAACATCGCACTGCTAACTTCCTACGTACAAGAACAAAACACGAATACGGGAATTAAAAGATAGTTGAAATCATGAATGTGAGTAATGTGTTAGTCCTTGTTCTACTTTCAAATATTCCCTCCTGATGAATCCAAATTATATGTTACACATTCTACTTTCAAACCTGACTTCTGCGTAAAAAAAAAAAAAAAATCATAAAGGAAAACCATTACAGAACACTGAACCGTGGCCATTGGCGGTGGCTAGTAAGTAAAGACGTGCCCAAAATCCACCGTGTTGCAGGAGTCAAAATCCTCCTTAAAGTTGGCACATTTTACTTGACCTTCACCTTTGCCGGCCATTGCTTCAAAGGCCAAAAGATTGCCCTTTTCTCCTTCTCCAAGTCCAACTTCAAGTGAAGGACAAAGCCAAAGTGCTGCTCAAATATCTGTTGCGGTTAAATTTGTGTCCAAGAAAGAAAACGGGTTCAGGAAACAATTGGGGTCAATTGGCTACTAGCTATATATGCCAAGAGGAAAGAGGAACATTTTTATTATTACCTTAGTTACTAATATCTAGAGGTACTTTATATTACGTTCATTGGTGTGACCCCAAATAGTGAATGTATGTCGTGTGATTCACCAAAACAAAATAATGAAGCTATGATTGATTTATTCAAAATTAAGTCAATTTCATTTGATGGTCAGAAGTGATTTGAAAGCTAAGCAGTGGTAATTATAAGGATTTTCCAAAGGGAAAATTAGACCGTCCACCCAGTACCGCTACCCACATTCTTTCCTGGGTTATTTTGTGACAGGATATTAATTGATTAATCTTTTGTTCTTTGTCTTGGTGCAATGCTTTTCAAATATTCCTGGTGAATCAAGTTACTCATTCCAATTTCCAACCTGAGTTATGCCCAAGTAAAAAGAAAAAAGAAAAAAAAAAGGTTACTCGTATTGAAAGTGTTTGAAGGACCAAAATATTTATATGTAATCAAACAAGCAAAGACTTCGCAAGCGAATCAATACTCGCAATGAAAGTGTTTGAAGGAGAATATATATATGCAATCAAACAAGCAAAAAAAAAAAAAAAAAAAAAAAAAAAAGCAGCAAAGACTTCGTAAAAGAAAGAAATCACTAAATATTTTACAATATTCGTGATTATATCATATAAACTCGAAGCTAGCATCTCCCGATGAGCTTAATGCCAAATTTGTTAAACTCAAGTACTTTGGTGCACTTAATTTAAAGAACTCGTAGAATTTAGATCACCTGAACAAATTATATGCTTACTGGCTAATTACATTTTGCATGTAAAAGTAAACCTTACCAATGTAGCTTAACTACCAGAAACTGTTGGATAATAAACCACAATCAATGACAAATATATATATTTCAACCCTATACATGGTTAATCTTAGTTTACTACTCTAAAGTTTCTTGATTTTCAATATTTCATACATCAGGTTTATTTCGTCACAGTCTAGTACCTAAAGTCATAATTTTGGGACACTTTCATACATCCATTAATTTTTCCGTCAGAACTTCCATTAATTGATGATGTGACGCTTATGTGGACAATAATTAAGTGCCATGTGTCAATCTAGTGCCACATGGACATTAAAAAAATTAGAAATTAAAAATTAAAAATTAAAAAATTAAAAGCTAGAGTAAATCTCAATTTACTATCCTAAAGTTTTTTGGCTTTCAACATTTCATACATTAAGTTTTTCATCCCAGTCTATTACCTAAAGTGATAATTCTTGGACAGTTTCATACATTTGTTAAGCTTTATGTTAAAACAGCAGTTAACTTGTGTCGTGGCGTCCACGCCGACAATGATTAAGCGTCACATGCCAATCTAGGGCCCACGTGGATACGAAGAGAATATGGCATTTGCATTGAACCAGGAGAAGGATAAGACCCTAAATTGGATGATGAAGATCCCTGTTGATAAGAACCTCCAAAAATTGAACCTCCATTTGGTATCTGTGTAAGAACACCTCCAGTAGTTAAAATACATCTTCATTGATAGAAGATCCTTGAGTCATTGAAGACTGAGAATAAGAGCCAGTAGCCCATTGCATATACAATCCAACAAAATTAGGAGATAAATTGCACCACCGAGTCAGCTTCTCTTTCTGCATAGAACAACCGTTCTCTGGACTCTCTTAAGGACATAGTTGTATCTCTTGTAAATATCACAGTTCTAATAACAGAATATTCCCTTGGCAAACCAGATAATGCAGAAACAATGAAATCAATATTGTCACTCACAACTTCACCAACACCAATCAATTGTTCTTTAAAACTTATGAGCTTAGACAAGTACTGATCAATAAAACTACCCCCTTTTTGCATGGTCTGAAATTCTGTTTTCAGAATATTAACTCTAGCTTTAGAAATAGAAGCATATCTATCATGTAAATTGGTCCAAGCTTCTTAGTTTTAAGGCCTAAAACATGTCCAATAGACTCATCTGACAATGTAGCAATCAACAAACTCAGAAGAGCAAGATCCACAGATTCTTATTCCAAGAATTCATCAGAAATTGTATTAGTGACCCCCTGATCAGTAGTAATCACAAACTTAGATGGACACTTAGCAGATCCATAAAAAAGACCGAACAATTTATACCCTTTTAGTACAGATGTAAACTGAAATGTTTTCTTATCATTCAACTATATTGTCAGCATACCCAAAAACCCTTCAATTTTCTCAGAAGGTGATGTCATTGTCACTGAAAGAATGTAATTAATCAACAAAGTTTATTACAATTCTTCAAGATTCTGAAGATGTAAATCACCAAGCAGCTACCTGATACAATCCTTTTCAAAGAAACTCAGAAAATCACCAATATTCAATCAAACGGAAATGACTTCATGCCCACAAAAATCCAACTAAATAAGCAGAAATGACTTCGTGCCCTCAACAGAACTTCAACTAATCTAACAGAAATGACTTCGTGCCCACAAAAATTTCAAGATTTAATCAAGAATGGCTTCGTGCCCTCAAAGAAAGATCATTACTTCTCTAACAAACTGAAATATAAACTTTCTGAACCAATCTTCAAGAATTACCCAGAAAACAAGAATTCCAAATCTTTCAACTTTGAAAGAAAGAATCGCAGAAACCTTCATAGAACATTGAGATTATGAATATTTTGGAACAATTCACATGAATCTTCAATAAAGTCGGCACTGACACTTGAAACCCAGATCGCCATTGTTGCCGCAGCTGAAGAAATCACTAGAAATAGAGCTGGAAATATAGCAAACAATCAAACCTCACAGCAGAATCGCTGGCTCTAATACCATCTTAACTATTCTGAATCAACGAAGAACTGAACTAAATTAATGAAATGAAGAGAAGAATGCTCAGCAAGAAAACGAAAGGAAGATGAAAAGAAGAGTGAGAGAGAGAGACTGAATATGTTTTTTGTTATAGTTTTTTTAATGAGGTTATCTCTGGATTCTCTTTGTGAGGATTTTGGAGATTCTCAAATTGTGTCCGTTTATTGTATATCATGGGATAAAAAATTATTTTAAATATTTTTATTTAAAATTAAACATAAACAGTACATGATGAAAATTAGTCACACGATATACAATAAACAGATACGATTTGAGGATCCCCAAGATCCTCACAATCAGGAAAGGATCCAGTCAGATTGTTTTTACAACGGTACAATGCTATTACACTTAGGTTGCTATAGAAAGGGATCTCTCGATCCCTTCCATCTAATCCACCAAGGCCACAAATCTAAGCTTTTGAAATTTGATTCAACAATTAAAGTTATTATAACTTTTTATGGACCCCTTATTTTTAGTTGTTGGATCAAATTTCAAAGGTCCGGATATGTGAACTTGTAGGATTAGGTGGAAGGAATCCGGAGAGGATGTCACATCCAAACCCAGGCTCCACCACATCCTGAGCTCGACTCTGCCGTAGTACGATATTATCTGCTTTGGGCCCCGACCACACCATCCCAACCCGAGCTTCACCACATCCCGGGCTTCACCACGATATTGTCCGCTTTGGACCTCAACCATGCCCTCACGATTTTGTTTCTGGGAATTCACGCGAGCAGAACTTCCTAGTGGGTCACCCATTCCAGGAATGCTCTCGCCCGAACTCACTTAACTTCGGAGTTTCAATAGAACCCAAAGCCAATGAGTTTCCAAAAGACCTCGTGCTACTTGGAGGTGGGCATGTACATAAAGCACAACTTCCTCTCTCTGTTGATCGATGTTGGATGTTACAAAAAATCCCTTTCCAGGTTGCTATATATTGCATTCTTACATTCTTCGATTACATAGCACTCTCTCATTCCAGCTCTCTTAACTAACCATTTCCTAATAGTGCAACTAACTTCTAATAAACCACAGCTGACATGACAAGGAGGCCTATGGAGTTGTCATATGTCTTTAGTTATTACACAAATCAAACTGGAACGAATTTTGAGTTTTAAAAAATAAAGTAATAATTTTTTAGTTACGAAGGCAAAACGATATCAAAATAGAGTTCAATAAGACGTAGCTAAAAATAAGCCTAATATACAATGTAATTTGTTAGCCTGTTGCCGGTAATATGACTCACTAAAACTTTATTTTTTGCTAATTTCTAAAAAATATAATTGAAATCGTATTTCTAAGGAAAACCTGTATTATCCCCAAACTGGCTCCGCCCAATTGAGATGTACTTTTCTAGCGGAGGATCCTATTTTCGTCTGAAGCCCTTTTAGTATTATTCATACAATAAAACAACTAGTTATGATAATTACAACATTTCTTCAAGTACTATATATCTCCCATACAGCTTTGCAATTATTTAATAAATTATAAACTGCCGGATATCATACACAATGTGCACATATCATATTCGGATATTCTCACTCAACCGTTTCCTAAATTCAAGTTGTCTTCTATATGTACATTCAGAAACTAATGCAATTAGGACACACATTAACATTCATTTCAATATACAAGGAAGAAAGAGCAGGAAAAGATGGTTAAAACCATGAATTTTGGGAATGTGATGGTTCTAGCTATGGCATTGGCGGCAGTATCAATGATGTTGCATACAACAGAAGCTGCAGAGTATGTAGTAGGAGACGACTTGGGTTGGACTGTCCCGCCAGGCGGCGCTGCCAGTTACGCTTCGTGGGCTGCAAAGTATAGGTTTGTAGTTGACGATATTCTATGTAATCAACTTATTTCCTGCTTTCTCCATTTATTTCATTATCATTTTGTGTGAGTGCGAGCGCGTGTTGAAAAGTGTCATGCATGCATTGACCAATTTTAGCTAATTTACACGATGATATCCTTGTTTTGTGCAGACTTCAACTTCACAGAAGGAGAACATACTGTGGCTTTAGTAACCAAGGAGAATTATGAGATTTGCAACACCACAGATCCCTGGTCTAAACTCGATGGACCAATTGCACTTCAATTTCTTGCGTCAGACACATTTTACTTCACATGCACCTTCGCCGGCCACTGCGCTGGAGGCCAAAAGGTTGCGGTTTATATCGCTCCCTCTGCAAACACTCCAAGTCCAAGTCCAGGTGTTGCTCCTCTTCCTCCTGCTGCTGCTGCGTCCCTGCCCTTCACATTTGTGTCCAAAAAACTTGGGTTCAGGAAAGTGTAATCTGTAACATTCATTATTTAATGGCGTGAATCATACGCTTGTATTGGAATTCCTTAGCAAGGGGGAAAGAGCTAAGAAATAATAAAATCGTGAACGTGTACTTCTATTTATAATTAGCCTATATTTAACTGATTAAGAGAGAAACCCAAAGATTTTTTTGTTAGGCTAAAAGCATTCCATCTCTCCTGCATTAGTGATTAAGAATATAAGATAAAGAAGAACTACATCTCAAACGCAGACTTAATTTACTCAATAGGTTAATTAAGAACTGCCTTTGGCTTTAGCTAGATAATATGAAAAATACACTCTTTCCTGAATGCATCCCTTTAATTTTGAGATTCCACGGATTTGGTGACCAACGCTCACCATCATGGCTTTTTATTTTTATTTTTTATTTATTTTTGTTGGGGGGGGGTGGGGTTCGAAAGCACGGATAGTGTGGCATGTGCATTCAATAGCACTACCTAGTAAACAGCACGAGGACGGGATTCGTGCCTCATTCGTGTTCAACCTTTACTTGGCCACAAGAGAGGTTGTTAGTTAGTAGAAGAATGTAAGAAAAGGTTATTACTGTTAAAACAGAGTCTGTAATCACTTTATCATAATCTATGGAAATTAGTTTCTATCTTTCTTTAGAGCAACTCCACCTATGGAGCCTTCCCCTCTGGCAATCCACCCTATTGAACAGTAACTGCCTTTAATGAATAGTAACTGTCATTAATGAATAGTAAATTGCCATTTGCATCTCCACCATTGGAGCCCTCCCCCCTGGCAATAGGCAATAAAATATTAGTTTTTTTTGTTTGTTTAAATAATACAAAATAAAATTATTTGTAATTTCGGATAAGAATTTTTAAATCGTTCTCGTTGCGCCACGTGTCATTGTGGTGTAAGGTAGATGGAGAAGAAGTGGTATTTATAGAAAAGTAAAAAGAATTTTTTACAAATTTTTTTTCAGATTTTTTACAATTTTTTACATTTTTTTTAAAATTTTTTATTCAAACAATTAATCTCTGCTGTTGGATTTAAAAAAAATTGAATTCCAACACTCCAGATTGTGCCACGTGTCACAACAATAACTTTTCTTAATTTTAAAACTATTTTTTCTTTTTATTACCCTTGCATCGGACAACTAGTATTTAAACCTTTTGGGATCGAACGGACCGTGGGAAGCCACGTGGCTTTCCATCGGTCACTGGGCATCTCTGCGCGCGTGGGCCCTGGCGCCTGATTTCCGATCGGGCGATGCGCTCCCACTCGCGAGTGAGGGGCACGCGCCTGACACAAAAAAAATTAAATAAGGCTTGGCCCTCGGGCTGTAGGCCCGTCAATTCCCCACCCCCCGGCCCTCGGGCTCCCACCCTCACTCAGGCTCTCCAAGGCTGGAGTATTGTCCACCGGGCCTCGGGCCCTTTCCTCTCCCCTGTCCCCCGAGCAATGTCCATGGGTGGACTTGCTCTTACAAGCAGTTCTCCCCTTGAAGAGAATCCCACGTTGATTAGATTACTCTTTATAGTACTAATTGGTTTTATAGTAGAACTCCAACTTTCTTCATAGTATCAAAGTAGGTTGCCTAAATGTGAAGCCTAACGGCCACATGCGTTCCACATCATCAATTTTTTGTTGTGTATGTATGTACATAGAAATTGAGATGAACTTAAATAGGTAGTCGTGTTTAAATAGAAAAACTCTTAATGAAATGTACAGTATAATCCCATGATAAGAACCATTCAAATAGTAGGTCTTCAGTCAAAGGCCATTCCGCCAAAACTTTTATCCAAAATAAATCATTTGGCCATTTATTTATTTTGAAAGTATTTTTTTCAACTCGTATATTTTTTTTTTCATCTATTTGTTTGATCACAATATACTACACGTTTTTTTTCAAGTTGACTCAAACTTAACAGGGATGAGTTTTCAACAAGAACTAATAAATAAACAATTCATATTATACATATAATCATGTGCACAAAGCTTAATGCATACAGTTGAACGCGTATTTTGTGGCGTTTCTCGGTGCACAATACTTGTCATCAACACTTGTAGAACAATAGACGAATCTTAAGAAGATTAAGATTCGCTGGATCCAACTTCATAGGCTAGGTGACATTAGATTTAGAGGAAAGTATAAATTTACAGGGAGGTTTTTGGGAAAATGATTCGATTAATTGAAAAATGAACGAAAAATAAGCGATGGGAACTCATATCTAAGCATGGTTTAGACAATGACTAAGTCTACAATATATTGTTCACTATGATGGACTAAAAAAGAAGAGGTGCTTCTCCTTCCTCCTCCCCTTATGACGAGTTTTATTCATGGCTCTCTCTAAAAAGGAAGGTTTCCCAAAAAGATTTCATTATTTTGGAATAAAACAAAACACATTATAATGATAGATAGTAATTAATACTACGCAAACCATGTTGAGAAAAAGTTAAGAGTACACAACTCTAACAAAAGTGTTAGAGAGACAACATAAATAAACAAATTACTTGTATTACACACACAAAATATTACAATACTCAAACTCTCAAGGACACACTTGAGAAGCTATGACACTCACTAACTTTCTAGAGACAAACTCTAAATCACTCACACTCCTCACAAGACTACTCTTACTTCTCACTCTCACTTAGTTGCCTACTTCTTCTTACAAGCTTACAACACCACACCCATATTTATAGGCATGGTTGCCGACTTTACTAGCACTTTCTAGTGCATATTCATGCACATACTGCACCGACATACAAGCCCTTCTTAGTAGCCGACTTTATTACTTGGCTAAGAATGCCCATCTAGATTATTCTTTAGTATTTTAGATTACTCTAGAATTTGGTTTGTTAACCAACTTCTTATTCTAGAGTTATGTAGGAATTTCTTCACAAATAAATTGGGCTTAATTAAATATGGGCCTTTTGGGCTGGTGTTGATTCTTCAACACTCCCCCTCAACACTAGCTCATTCTTTTCTCCATACCAAGTTGATAACGTTTTACCTCCCTTGGCTTTGGCACTAAGTTCCAAGTTTGATATTGCTCAAGTACAGTGACTTCTTCTCCTAACTTTGAGCCACTTAGGTTCAACTGCTTCTTCTTCTATGGCTGCATTGGCGTATTTAGGATTTGGCTTCCGGATTCTTGTTGACCTTCTTAGTTATGATTGTGGAGTTGATACTTCCACTTCACTAGGTCTATCTTCTTTTGGTTGTTGATATACGTCAGCTTGCCAAGGGTTTTGGGGCACTGCTTTCTCAACACCATCACCATCAAGTGAATCCTCATATTCATCTGGTCTTGATTGGATTCGAACATTTTGCTCCCCCATCTTCTGTTGCAGCTTATCTTCAATCTCTCTCGAATAAGGCAATGCCTTTTTTTCTGAAGACCACCAAGAAGATGCTTCATCAAACACCACATCTCGTGATGTGTAACACCTTCCAGTCGTAGGATCACAACATTTCCACCATTTTCTTTGGCTGTCGTATCCCATAAAGATACATCGGACTGCATTCTTGTCAAACTTGCTATGTAAATGACTTGGAACAAATACGTAGCACACACAGCCAAAGACTTGAAAGTAACTAACTGTAGGTTTCATATCCCACAGTTTTTCAAAGGGTGAGACAAATTCTAACCTTGGTTGAGGAAGCCTGTTGATCACATGAGCTGCAGTTCTCATTGCTTCGGCCCAATACCTTCCTGGTACATTCTTGGCATGGAGCATACTTCGACATATTTATGCAAGATGCTGGTTCTTTCTTTCCGCTACGCCATTATGTTGTGGCGTGTTGGCACATGTGAACTGGTGATGTATTCTACATTCTCGTAGATACTGGGAAAAATCATTCGAGGTATATTCTCCTCCATTATCCGTGCGTATGCAACAGATCTTTTTTCCCACTTCTCCTTCAACTGTCTTCTTAAACTTTTTAAATTTTGAAAATGTTTCAGATTTTTCTTTCATAAAGAAAACCCAAACATACCTGGAGAAGTCATCAATGAACTTCACCATGTATCGCATTCCACTTATTGATGGTTGCTTGACGGGCTCGAACATATCAGAATGAACCAACTCCAATGGATATTTCGCTTTAAACTTCGACTCTTCGTATGGTAGTTGATGTGCTTTACCATACTGGCATCCTGCACAAACCGTGTCTATTCTCACGTCAAGCTGAGGTAGCCCCTTAAGCATTGACTTCTCCATCATCACATTTAGCTTGTGATAGCTAATGTGACCTAATCTCATATGCCATAAATCTGCTGTCTCATTTTTCCTTGTCTTGTCTACTTATGCAGTTTCTGCTGACATTACATAGATTGATTGCACTGCCGTCCCTCCATTGTTGGCGTCCCTAAGATATTGAGGTGTCGATACACCTTCACATCTCGTGGACCAAAAAGACATAATTTCCCAATGACGTCAGTTACGGCACTGAAAGTAGATTTTTCTTCATACCTGGAACATGGTAGACATCTTGAAGCGGCACATGGTTAGTGTTGTATCGGGGCTCAATTACTGTCTTGTCGATGTGAGCAATCGGTAGCCTCGAGTCGTTAGCCGTCACCACTAAGTGGCCTCCTTTGTACTTAGTCAGACTTTGTAACTTTTTCTCATCACCTGTCATATGGTTTGAGCGGCCTGAATCCCCAATCTAATCATTCTGGTAGTCAATCGACTCCGGACTTGCTGCTGTGAGAGCTGATTCTTGCTTTTCCATAGCAACGGATGCTCCAGCGTCCCATTCTTCCTCCAGGGCTAGAGACGCAATGACATCCCAATCATCTTCATTTTTCTTCTCTGAGTTGGCGACGTTACTTTCTGCAGGCCTTTTGAACTAGCAATCCTTCGACATGTGGCCATTCTTTCCACAATTGTAACACTTGCCCTCAAACATTTTATTATTCTGGGACTGACCATGGTTGCCGTGATACTTCGGAACTCCCCTTGGTCGAGAACTCCCTATTCCTTGATGACCTTTTTCCTTGTCACCATTTCTTTTAGATCCACTACCAGCACGCCGCTTAAAACTGCCTTTACTTTCGGTGTATAGTGCTTCCTCCTCACCTCTTGACAAGACCCCTCCCATTTGCTTTGCCAAAACTTCTTGATCGGCAAGCAAATTCTCAAACTCAACAAGTGATGGTTGGGTCGGCCATCCTTGTACAGCAGCAACGAAGCCTCGATATTCAGGTCTTAATCCATGGATAATTATTCCTTTTATCCTGGATTCTACAATGGAAGCACTAGGATCTAATTCATGTCTCGTTGGGCCACCGATAACAACTCGTTCTCGAGAAGCTGTAGTCTTGTATCGTTCCTATTTGAAAAGAGTGTGGCGTAGGTGTCCTACGCTTTTTTCGGTGTCTAAGCCTTCCGTATGTGCTCCAACATGTCATCTTCGACTATAGTTTTTAGGGCAAACATGGCTTTCCCTGCCTTGATCTTCCACTTCCTCAAAATGCCACTGGTGTCTTCTTCCGGCTGTATAACTTCATTACCGCCGACGACATCCCAAAGATCTTGGCCTTGTAGGTAAGACTCCATACACGTCGACTATGTGTTGTAATTTTTGTTGTTTAACTTCTTGATTCCTCCAACAACTTGAAGATCTCCCATCGTGTCGGCAAAATTTTGATGAGCCGAACAAGATTAACTAATAATCTTGCGAAGTACTAAACTTCTCACAATTCTTAAAAACTTCACTAGAGACGGTCCCTGATCGTACCGCTCTGATACCAATTGTTGAGAAAAAGTTAGAGTACACAACTCTAACAAAAGTGTTGGAGAGACAACACAAGTAAACAAATTACTTGTATTACACACACAAAATATTACAATACTCAAACTCTCAAGGACACACTTGAGAAGCTATGACACTCACTCACTTTCTAGAGACAAACTCTAAATCACTCACACTCCTCACAAGACTACTCTTACTTCTCACTCTCACTTGGTTGCCTACTTCTTCTTATTACAAGCTTACAACACCACACCCATATTTATAGGCATGGTTGCCGACTTTACTAGCACTTTCTAGTGCATATTCATGCACATACTGCACCGACATACAAGCCCTTCTTAGTAGCCAACTTTATTACTTGGCTAAGAATGCCCATCTAGATTATTCTTTAGTATTTTCGATTACTCTAGAATTTGGTTTGTTAACCAACTTCTTATTCTAGAGTTATGTAGGAATTTTTTCACAAATAAACTGGGCTTAATTAAATCTGGGGCTTTTGGGCTGGTGTTGATTCTTCAACAAACCACTCATCTAGGCCTGTTCACAAAGTAATTTTTCATGACTGTTCACTCTTAAGGTCATCATCTCATCCTTATTGTTCACTCAAATCGGTTTGATTATTATTATGAAATTTTTTGTTTATTGACAATATCTTATTTGTCTATATATCGTGTCACAGATAGATATCTAAATGACTTTGGATTTCAATAAAATTTTGTAGGGCTAGTATTTAAATGATCACCTAATACATAATGGGTTCAGATAAGAAATATTGTCAAGTAGGTCTAGACGAGTAGTTAGCACATGTTAAGTTAGTAACTATTATGAACACTTTTCTAGCTGTTATAGATTCGTTTAGAACATTCTGAGCGGCAGACGGCTAGGTCATTCTAGCGGAGGATCCTATTCACGATCGTCTGAAAGCATTTTAGTATGATTACAATGAAATAGTTTTGATAACTTCAACATTTGATCAAGTGTACTGTGGACTACATTGTATGCAACCGTGCAGTTAACTAGCTAACTAATTATACATTGCCGGATATCAGTATCATATATATTCGGACACTAATGCAATTAGGTGACCACATTGGCATTCGTTTCCTAATACAAGGACGAAAGAGGAGGAAAAGATGATCAAAGCCATGAACTTTAGGAACGTGATGGTTCTAGCTATAGCAGTGGCAACAGTAGCAACGATGTCACATACAACAGCAGCTACAGAGTATGTAGTTGGAGACGACTTGGGTTGGACTGTCCCGCCCGGCGGCGCTGCCTATTACGTTTCATGGGCTGCCAATCATAGCTTTGTACTTAACGATGTTCTACGTGTGTAAAAAACTTCTCTGAACTGATTCACCATTAGTTCATTAACTAGTAACTTTTATTTTTATGTGTATGTTGAAAAGTGTCACACATTGCCTTTAATTATAATTAGTTAATTTACATGATGATATCGTTGCTTAATTTGTGCAGACTTCAAGTTTATAGAAGGAGAACATACCGTGGCTATGGTAACCAAGGAAAATTTCGAGATTTGCAACACCACAAATCCCATATTTGAACTCCAGAAACCAAGTATTATTGGATTTACTGCGTCAGACACATATTATTTCACCTGCACCATCGCCGGCCACTGCGCTGAAGGCCAAAAGGTTGCGGTTTATTTCTCTCCCTCTTCAAATACTCCAAGTCCAAGTCCAAGTGGTGCTCCTCCTACCCCTGCTACTTCCCTGCCGCCCGTCAAATTTCTCTCTAAAATACTTGGGCACAGAAAAGTGTGATATGTAACATTTGTTATTTAATTGCGTGAAGTCCTTTATGATGAATTATTTTTCGATAAAAACCATACACATGTATTGGAATTCCTTGACAAGGGGCAAATAAACTAAGAATTAGTAAGATCACGGCAGTGTACTTTTATTTATAATTAGCCTATATTCTACTATAGTGATCAAGAGAGGAAAACCCAAAGATTTATTTGGTAGGCTAAAAGCTAGCACTCCATAGCCATGCATCAAAATGTTTACAATTTTTATCATTAACGTTAAGAAAAAGGACATAGACAGATTCTCAATAAATTAACTATGAACTGCCTTCGGCTTTTAGCTGCTAGTTAAAAAGAAAAATAAACTCTCTTGAATCGTCCCTTTATTTTGGGAAATTTCAGTAGAAGTTTCAACACACGCTACTACAAAAGGAAAGCCGAGCCACGGATGTCATGTCCATGGCTCACCACACGTGGGTTTTTTTTTTTTTTTCACAAGCCACGAATATTGAAGCGCGTACATTGAAATTCTGAGTTTTAGCGACAATATTGATCTTTTACTGACGAAATTTTGATACATTTATGGGAGTCTTAACGAAACACTTCTGGTACTGTTCACTTTTAACGTTAAAGACATTTTTACTCTAAAATGTCACTTATGGTACTATTCACTTACAACACCTTTTTGTCATTTTGGTTAAAACTCAAAGTTTTCAAGTCATTTTCTTTAGTTTTCATGCTGACTTCACAAGTCGTCAAAGGTTAAGGTTATAAAATTCAAAGTTTTCAAGTCATTTTCTTTAGTTTTCATGCTAACTTCACAAGTCGTCAAAGGTTAAGGTTATAAAATTAGTGGCCGGTTCACTCTTTGCTGACGTTGCTCATCGTCACTGAATATGTGTCGTGACAAAGTTTTAAGTTTGATATTTTTAGTTGAACAATACTTAGCCACTCAAAGATGAGTAGTAACTCCTACTGACACACCCTGACCGACGGAGCTCGAAGCATGCTGGCCGTCACCGTGAGGTGATGTAACCATAAGGGTAAGTGCTGTGAAAAAGTGAATAAATTAAAACCAAACCAGAAGTAATTTAAACTAAACAGTGAAAGAGTGCGCAGTCGTGGGAAGAACCCACTACAATTATTCAGAGCATAATAGACAGTACGACTACAATAAGGTGGTCAAAGTTGCTAAAGTACACTTATTACACAATAGTAGATAAGTTCATACTTCTAAACAGAGATAATGTCAGAACTGCCGAAAGTTCCTCGAATGCCACAGAGAGTACAACTATCTAGGTCCTGCAGGGGCGAAAAACAAAGTTGAGCGAGTCAACAAAACAATGTTCGTAAGAAAAACCTTTAATTTCGAACATAGTAACCATTTGCTGTAAAACAAGTATAGTTTCCTTAAAACATATTACATAAGTATGTAAACAATAATACAACAACAATATAACCAGAAATATGCCAAGTCATGATATATCAAATGCCACAATAATATAATCATGTGATAATCAAGTATAAACAAGTGCTCATCCATCTAAGCTGACACACGAATTCGTACAGATAATTTCTGATGCGAACAAGACTGGGTGTAATCAATACGCTCTAGTATTACGATCACGTGAAGGCTGGTGCAAAAGCACGGTCACATATGAGTCGCAATTGCCTAATGCAAATTGTGCGACAGGACTGGCACCTAACTTGGATCCAAGGCAAGCGAATGATGCGGATGTGAACATATACGTGAAAGACTGGCCCTGGCCCTGGGGCGAGTACTAACACGAGGGTGCAGCAAGATGAACATGTACAATTATGTATAAATGTCATTACAGTAATATCACAACCATATAGCAGCATGTATCACAATTAATAGCACAATAACGATACTTGGCAATATAAGCGTAAAAATTAAGTAAATACGCATTTATGGAAACTATAACTATGTATAGGTATAAAAACAAACTGCCAAGTCACAAATACGTTGTCAGATTGTAGCCCCCAAGCCTTGCCTAACCCCTCAAGTCCTCGGGATATGTTTCTCCTATATGTGAAATAACTATTTTTAAATTAATTAAAGCACATATACGGAAACTTAAATAAAACCCCCATAGTTTGCTCAAACCTAGGGTTTAAATATATGAAATCAATCTACTCGACATCACGGAGCTACATAAATTTTCAGAAAAATTTTTGAACGCCAAACGAGCCACCACGCGCCGGCTATGGCACGGCCACATGCGCCGACAACGCGCAGGTAGAGTTGACGGAGGCCTAACGGCCATTAGGAATATTCTGTCGTCTTCTCCAGTGGTCCTCGCCATCCACCGCCGTCTGAACTCGCCGGAATCTGGAAAAAGTAGCTGGTTTATGGGAAAATTTTCAAACCTTTGGAGTCCAAAAAATGGACGGATGTGGCCTGAAAATGGCTTGAAATATCTTACCAAAATCGGGCTCCTCGAGACTCGGTTGTTTCGACGTCAAAGCTTCTTCAAAATTGTCCTAGGAGCCTCGGGGAGTTGTAAGAGAGCTTCCGCGAGTCCTAAAATGCAGTTGATGAAGAAGATCCCTGTTGATGTGAACCTCCAAAAGTTGAACCTCCATTTGGTATCTGTGTAAGAACACCTCCAGTAGTAAAAATACATCTTCATTACTAGAAGATCCTTGAGTCATTGAAGACTGAGAATCAGATCCAGTAGCCCCTTGCATATACAATCCAACAAAATTAGGAGATAAATTGTTCGCCACAGAGTCAGCTTCTCTTTCTGCACAGAACAACTGTTATCTGAACTCTCTTAAGGACATAATTGCATCTCTTGTAAATATCACAGTTCTAATAACAAAATATTCCTCTGGCAAACCAAATGATGCAGCAACAATGAAATCATTATCACTCACAACTTCACCAGTAGCAATCAATTGTTCTTGAATACTTATGAGTTTAAACAAGTACTGGTCAATAGAATTACCCCCTTTTTGCATGGTCTGAAATTCTGTTTTCAGAATATTAACTCTAGCTTTAGAAATAGAAGCATATCTATCATGTAAATTGGTCCAAGCTTCTTAGTTTTAAGGCCTAAAATATGTCCAATAGACTTATCTGACAACGTAGCAATCAACAAACTCAAAAGAGCAAGATTCACAGATTCTTATTCCAAGAATTCATCAGAAATTGTATTAGTGACCCCCTGATCAGTGCTAATCACAAACTTAGATGGACACTTAGCAGATCCATAAAAAAGACCGAACAATTTATACCCTTTTAGTACAGATGTAAACTGAAATGTTTTCTTATCATTCAACTTTATTGTCAGCATACCCAAAAACCCTTCAATTTTCACAGAAGGTGATGTCATTGTCACTGAAAGAATGTAATTAATCAACAAAGTTTATTACGATTCTTCAAGATTCTGAAGATGTAAATCACCAAGCAGCTACCTGATACAATCCTTTTCAAAGAAACTCAGAAAATCACCAATATTCAATCAAACGGAAATGACTTCATGCCCAAAAAAATCCAACTAAATAAGCAGAAATGACTTCGTGCCCTCAACAGAACTTCAACTAATCAAACAGAAATGACTTCGTGCCCACAAAAAATCTCAAGATTTAATCAAGAATGGCTTCGTGCCCTCAAAGAAAGATCATTACTTCTCTAACAAACTGAAATACAAACTTTCTGAACCAATCTTCAAGAATTACCCAGAAAACAAGAATTCCAAATCTTTCAACTTTGAAAGAAAGAATCGCAGAAACCTTCATAGAACATTGAGATTATGAATAATTTGGAACAATTCACATGAATCTTCACTAAAGTCGGCACTGACACTTGAAACCCAGATTGCCATTGTTGCAGCAGCTGAAGAAATCACTAGAATATAGCTGGAAACATAGCAAACAATCAAACCTCACAGCAAAATCACTGGCTCTAGTACCATCTTAACTATTCTGAATTAATGAAGAACTGAACTAAATTAATGAAGAAATGAAGAAGAATGCTCAGCAAGAAAACGAAGTGGAAGATGAAAGAAGAGAGAGAGACTGAATATGCTTTTGTTATTGCTTTTACAACGGTATAGTGCTATTACACTTAGGTTGCTATATTTAGCATTCTTACACTCTTTGATGACATAGCACTCTCTCAATCCAGCTCACTTAACTAACCAATTCCTAATAGTGCAACTAACTTCTAACAAACCTTAGCTGACATGGCAGGGTGGCCTATAGAGCTGCCATGTGTCTTTAGTTATTACACAAGTCAAAGTGAAACGAATTTTGAGTTTCAGAAAGTAAAGTGATAATTTTTTAGTTACAAAGGCAAAACAAGATCAAAATAGAGTTTCAAGAGGCGTAACTAAAAATAAGCCTAATATACAATGTAATTTGTCAGCCTGATGCCGGTTATATGACTCACTTAAACTTTGTTTTCTTTGCTAATTTCTAAAAAATATAATTGAAATCGTATTTCTTAGGAAAACATGTACTATCCCCAAGTTGGCTCCTCCCAATTGAGATATAATATTCTAGCGGAGGATCCTATTCTTGTCTGAAGCCCTTTTAGTATTATTCATACAATAAAACAACTAGTTATGATAATTACAACATTTCTTCAAGTACTATATATCTCCCATACAGCTTTGCAATTATTTAATAAATTATAAACTGCCGGATATCATACACAATGTGCACATTTCATATCACATGGCGGATAGTCTCACTCAACCGTTTCCTAAGTTCAAGTTGTCCTCTATATATATTCAGAAACTAATGCAATTAGGACACACATTAACATTCATTTCAATATACAAGGAAGAAAGAGCAGGAAAAGATGGTTAAAACCATGAATTTTGGGAATGTGATGGTTCTAGCTATGACATTGGCAGCAGTAACAATGATGTTGCATACAACAGAAGCTGCAGAGTATGTAGTAGGAGACGACTTGGGTTGGACTGTCCCGCCAGGCGGCGCTGCCAGTTACGCTTCGTGGGCTGCAAAGTATAGCTTTGTAGTTGA